GTGTCTGAACTGAGGCTGCTATTTCCCAACGGCTCGCTTGTTTTCCCGCCATTCTCCAACGACCGTTATCGACACGACGTGCACGCCGCCCTCTATCGGTGTAGGCTGAAAAGTGCGTTGGGAATTGTGGTTAGTAGGGATGTTCACGTTAAAGCAGGTGAGTTGGAAAACATTATTCAAATGTAATTTTTGGTTTTGATAGACATGGACTGAACGGTTGGATTGCGGACATAAAATTAGGATAAACTTGTGATTTTCTTCACCTATCTGGTTCGTTAAATATTTTGCCTACTAGGCCAGTCAATAAAGTTAATCTATTTTGAAAATCTCACATTAATTACTAAAGTTTTTAAACTTTGTAAAAATAACTGGCTGGTTTAAATAACACTAAGTTTAACTTTACAACCATATCTAAGGTCCGGAACTAGTTAATTTATAGAAAAGGGGCTCTTTTATATATAATTAAAAAAAAAATCCCAATAGTCCAATTAAATAACGAAAAAAAGATCCTCCGAGCTTACATTAATTTGTAATTGGATGAAACAAAAAGGACCTTGTGTATTTTGAAGTAATCTTTCCGAAAAAAAAAGAAAAAAAGATGTAGCAGTTTTTCAATTTTTTTTAAATTAGGAAAAACCGGGTTTTCCAGAATTTTCCATTGTAAAAATGCTAATTATCTGGGCAAGTATTATTCCGATAGTGAAAATAAATGCACCATTTGAAAGAGGAGGCAAAAATAGTTCGGAAATTCATTGCACAGGTAGTTTTAATGGCGAATTTCTCGCCGCCAGAAGTGCTTTTACCAAAAAGTCGTTTTTTCGTTTTTTTGATCAGAACCATGGACATGAAATTTGCGATGAATTTGTGGCGAAATTATAAATGTTAGACATATGTGCCCATGAGAGAAGTTGCGTATTTTTTTGTTGGCTCTCAAATAAAATAAGTCCGGCGGCGAAATCTGACATAATTTTTCGGGAATTCGCAGGAAACCAGAGGCGTAGTTTTTTTTTAATTTTTTTCCCATATGATTTTTTCCGGGTTTTCCGAAAACATCTAACAAAAAAAATATATTTGAAAAAACTAACTTCGCCATCGAAAAGGGCACAAAAAAATACACAAATAGGTATACTTTAAAAATGTTAGGAAATTAATCCTAAGCTTGAGTGTAAGTTCCAACTTGGTGATAAGCTTGCTTTTTGTTCGCTAATATCTGGTAATTCTATATTTTGCACAAAACTCAAGAAACGTCTTATAACAAGTCAGTAAAATACAATTTAATAAATTTTAAGCCTAATAAGTTTAGATATATAAGAAATTTAAAACTGGAAAACGCAAAAAAATCAAATTACAGTAATGTAGTGTATACACGAGTTTTGGATCCCGCGGAGCGCGTGTAATGGGACTTTTGTCGGGAGAATTCTACAACTTAAAAGAAACATACACACTTTAAACTTTGTATACACATTTAGAAGACATGAAATCTGGGTTTGTTTAATTTTCAGACGAAAAAACTAAAAATTGTCAATTTTAGGCAACTTTCCTCAAAAACCGTGTTTTTTGGTCGTCACTCAATGAACAGTGGTCAAAAAATTAGATAAAATATATTTGCAGAATTTTTCGTAACGTAATCGTATTCTAGACACAATAGAGTACTCAAAAAAAAGTTTTAAGCCATTGGGTGCATTTTTGGCATTTTTGTGCCACTTCAAACTTTCGAAAAAAAAAAAAAAAATTTTTAAGGAAAAAAAAATTATTTAATTGTTTGATATCTTAGCCAATTATGGTCCGATGTCGGTGAAATTTACACACACATAAGATTTCACATTTAAGAGTAAGCTTTGTAAGTGGTATTAAAAAAATTCAAATAGTTTGGCCGTTATAGGCAAACAATGAAATTAGGACCGCGGTGCATTTTGCCCTTCCGCCATATGCCCAATTTTGGGATTTCTCTTGCCCCCTTCTGGGAATCACTAGTCACATCCCTTAAGTTCAAAACGCATTTTTGTTTTTTCAAATATCTTAATTTTTAACAATGTTATAAAGAATTTAGTGTTTGAACATTTAACAAATTCAATTTTTCGACCTTCGTCGCCTCAAAATACTAAACAAATTTCAATCGTCCATACCGCGAGAACGGTGCATCGGATCAAAATTTCTCAGGAGACATAAAAATTAGCATTTTTCATAAGCTTTCAAATGTCGTGAACTGTGTTTTAAAAATATTGATTTATTTCCGACATGCGCCTGCGCAAAATTGAAAAATTGACAAAATCCAAAATTTCGGCACTTTCGAAAAACTGCTACATTTTGTTTTGCCTTTTTTCGAAAAGATCACCTCAAAATACATAGAATCCATTTTGTTTCATCTAATTACAATTTAATGTAAGCTCAAAACCCGTAATTTAATTCGATTACAAAAGTTTTTCAAACTTGAAGATATATATTTTATTTAGCAGCATGTCATGGACTCTATACTGTACCATGATCTTCCAGTACTACGAATTGAACTGAACCACTGTAATTTACTGATTTTATGTATTTTAAGTAATATCCAATGAGTGCTTTAGATCTGATTCTTCATTAATTAATTAATTCATGAATAATTTAAAAGATATAAAACTAAAACCAAATTTAATGAATATTCATGAATAAATGTTCTGTTTTGTATCATCCAATTATACTTTAAAGTTGAGAAGTACCAACCTACTAAACTATTTGTTCAATATTTGTTTTATTAGGTTTGTGGCTACAGGCGATAGAATTGTAATTTCCTGCTATATGTAATAAGTATTCAAACCTCCATTATTTACAAAAGTTGTATTGGTATACTTGTTAGTGATGAGTTTATATTGTATCCTTACATACAATTAATTTCCGGGATATTGCTGACCTTTTGCTGTAATTGAAGGAAAATAAATGCGACGATTAAAAAATAAAAGCATACTTTTGTCCTTTTAATAGTGGCCCAGCATTATGTTGGTTGATGATGGCCATATGAAGGGTGAGTAACTAGATTGGGTAAGCGCGAGGTAAAAGTCAAAAGGCTTTTATCTGCCCTAACTAAACCCCCCAACAGTTCAAAAGGGTTCTGTCCCGCGTTCCTAGATGGAGATATCGATAATCACTTGCCACATACTCAACGAGTGGACGACATGAGGCCAGTTTCTGATTGCTGGTATTCATTATTGATTTTAATTTCTTACTCATACATATTGTTAATTTAGAATATTTTATAAATAAACATTTTGTAGAAGACATTTTATCTCTGTTATATATTATAATAGCTAAAACAAATAAAATTCCTACAATATTCTAGCTATATTGGCATGCATTCGGTTTAATATTGTAAGGGGTTTTTTAGCCTCTGAGAAAATTGTCCATTACTAATGGCGCTGGTTACGGGCGGCTCTCGAGCACCAAATTATTGGTTATGGTTTACTCCACAAACTGTCGAAGCGGCATCGAAAGTACTCAGGTAGCTACAGATGGAGATGAAAAATTATAGGGGTCAAAGGTCACTTAGACACATGTAACGGGCTTTAATCGTTGCTTGGGCTGGTACAGAATTTATTACTAGCTGAATTACAAGGGGGGAATAAAGAATGGAATTAGTAACCAGTAATACGGAAAGTTAACGTTGACACATATATTGTTTCAAACTATTTACAACATAAAATAAAGAAATAAATTAAGGTATTTCAACGCCCACCCTCACGGTAATATGTACAAACCCTGAACAAAAATAAACATGCAAAACGGCCGGAAATGACTTCCATATAGCCTCAATCAGACGTAAAAAATGAAATCAATAATTGTAGTAATTACGGTCGCAGCAAAAGTTTATTATTGAACTGTCTATTCGATTGTTGAGCTAAAAATGTAACTTGCTATTTCTTTTAGGAGAAATATTAATTCGGTCGTAATAAAAATTTACTATCAGACTATTTTGATAGACGCGGGAAAATTAACTATTTAACAGTTTAGTCGTTAAACAAAATAAAAATGCAATTTACTATTTTTCTACAGAAAATAATATTTACGGTCGTAGGAAAAATTAACTGTTGAATTGTCCAATCGATAATTACAATCAAATGTAATTAAATATTTCGGCAAAGCAAAATTGAATATACGGTTGCAAAGAATGCGAGGAGACAGGTTCGGGACAGTACTCTTTTCAGGGTTGAAACCGGGTCTCTATAAGAAGTTTACTCATACTAGTGGTTGGAAAGTAAAACCAACTAACAACCGGGATAGCACATTATCTCTGAATAAAGTGATCGTAATGACGAGCCGCTTCAGACAGGGGAATGCTACTATTTAAGTTCACTTAAAATAACGGAGACGCAAATGAGTGTTTCAGACGTAAAATATACTAATAACCGGTATAGCACATTATCTCTGAATGAAGTGATCGTAATCACGAGCCGCTTCAGACAGGGAAATGATACTATTTAAGTTCGCATAAATTTGCGGTTCGGAGTATAAAATAAAAGAAACTGTCTCGTCGCAATTCTATTAAGATAACAAATCAAAATATTAGACAATTCCCAAACAGTTCTGACCAATTATTTATTGGTTAAAGCTTTAAATAAACTAAAAATAAATTTGCGATTTTTCCATTGAAATTTACGGTAGTAGGAAAAACTAACTATACGACTATATTTACGATCGAATGAAAAATAAATTATTTAAGTTAATATTATTTAAAAATAAATCAAAATTTAACGGTTTCCAATAGCACGGCTTAAAGTCTGGAGCGAAAAAAAATCAATTTATAAAAACAATGACAACAATTTAACTATCGTCAAGATCGCGGCTAGAAATTTACATCGGTTTAAAATTGTATATCTCGCGAGCAATATCGGAATCGTGGAATTCGGTGTCTAAATATTTTTTCTATTTTCCGCTGTTCGATAAATCGGTATATTAGGAACTAGCATTTTTAATTGAATCTCGGACCTCGTTCAATCGTCGACAGCCCTTCCAATAACAGCAACCCCACCATTACAACTTGCACACGCAGAGTATTTGGACGATATGGTCTGAATTGTGCCAAGCTGATATACAGGCTATATCCACGAAGTTAAAATTAAGTAAAAATCGAAATTAATATCCGGAATTAGTTAAAAAAAAATATTAATGAAAATTGACTTCATT